GCCCGAAGTGATGCAGGTGTCAGACGTTTACGACTTCGGTGAAACCCCCGAGCACGGGTATGGTGCTGACAAACCTAGAAACATAATCGGGGCGAACCGGGATTCGAACCCACAATCATAGATTTCTGGCGTGCCCAAGGGACGTAGCTCTGCACAGCAAATCGCGGCGCCTTAGACGACTGGGCCACCCGTGCCCCCTTCACTTTATGATGTAGTAACAAACAAACAATTACAACCTGACAGTTGAACCTCCTGTGGATCTGCGATAGCTCACAACAGCAGGGGTTAAAGGTTTGAGGGAGCCCGATCAGGAGAAACAGGTGGTGCTGGAGGAGTTCAAAGCCATACTCGTGGATTGTAACCATGGCAATGACTGATTTGTGTACTGGCGCATTGTCCAGAACAAATTTATCAGCTTATTACATCTTGTCTTAATATAATCCCGTAATTGCCTATGAGTGTAGCATAATATGTTCAGTATATTGTCTGGCCTTTTGGAAGATAGTCAACCGTGATGGCACTCTCGGCATCCCAGAACACGGAGACATAACTTTTCCGGCTTAAGGGACAGTCCATCGCTTTTTGTTGGTGCTGATTTCAAATGCTTCCACTGTTTTGATTGTTGTTTGGACTCAGAATGGAAGTGGTGAATCCAGGTGTCCTCGATAGTCACAGATCGTTGGAAGAACCTTTTTGGATCAGCTTCAAACAGAGCTAGATTATCACGAGACATGTTGTGTCTGGATTAGATGTGTAGCTTTGGAACACCTGAACAAGCTGGAACAAGCTGATATTTTCGAACGTTTTTGTGATAATGGAATGTAAGTTCTCCTGGGAAATGCCTACTGAACTGGCAGTATCAGCATCATTTGGTGCAGTGGTATTAGCCGCAGTAAGTGTAGTACTTACAGTGTAGACACGTAACGTTATACCAATTGCAGAAGCTGCTAGCAGTGGTGGTAGTAGTAGTAGTAGTAGTAGTAGTAGTAGTAGTAGTAGTAGTAGTAGTAGTAGTAGGAGTGAGTGAGTTTTATTTTACGTCGCTTTTAGCAATATCCATCAATATCATGGCAGGGTGCACCAGCAATGGGCTTCACACATTGTACCCATGTCGGTAATAGAATCCGGGTCTTCGGCGTGACGAGCGAACGCTTTAACCACTAGGCTACCCAGTAGTAGTAGTAGTAGTAGTAGTAGTAGTAGTAGTAGTAGTAGTAGTAGTTGTTGTGCTGCCGAGATTCGGGGTTTCGAACAACACAGTAGATGTCGTTTTCTCTCATGTTTGTTTGTTGTTTAACGCCGCACAGAAATATTGCAGCTATGTGAAGGCGGTATGTAGTTAATCGAATCTGGACCAAACAATCCAGTAATTGAGATCATGAGCATCCAACCACAATTTGGATCCGATGACATGCATTAACCAAGTAATCTAGTCTGAGCAGCTGACCCATCATTGGTTGCTGGGGATCTTTATTCTTACCAGACATCCCCAGACATTCAACACAGACTGCATCCAGCATGGTATTGATGTTCATGAAACCACTATTGACAAGTCTTTGTAACACACATCGTGACACCTGCTATCGACAAATAAGAAATTGACACGGTCCAGCTGATACTCTGAATCGTTTTAAAATACTGTCAACTGACATTTGCGATTATATCCGTAAAAACATTTACTCGGGAATATTAGTCACTGCTGATGTGATCATCTATGCGTCAAAACACATGTCAGTATTTTCGTTATCAGCAAATAGCTATCACATATGTCATTATTGACGATGACAGGAGATGAGGTGAAATGGGGTTTAACGTCGCGTCCAAGATTATTGCACTTATAAAGATACGTGCGTGCACGTGTGTGTGTTTGTGTGGCTGCTTGTACTAGTCCGGACTGATGCCGATTTATAGTGCTAGCCCACTGAGATACCATGCCGTAGTTTAACATGAATACACCACTCAGACACAGTATACTGACTCCGAGCCGATCAGTCCTTGTTTTAGCCCCTTAATGCCGAGCGCCAGAACCCCGGACCTTCCGCTCTCCGTGTGGACGCTCTACCACTAGACCGGACAACATAGATGTCATACAAATGCAGCACAAAGGTATAAAAGGTGTATAGAATGTTGGAAATACCACCGTAACATGAATAATAAACAGGGTGCATATGCTTATTTCTAAGGATCTAGCCTAGTCGTTAAAGCGTTCTCTCGTCACCCCGGAGACCCTGGTTCGCTTCCATATATGGTACATGGTGGTCCCCGCCGTGTTATTGCTGGAGTGTTGCTAAAAGCGGCCTAAAATCCTACCGACTCACTCGATCGTTTCATATGGCTCTTCAGTTCTACACTAAAAAGTGTACCTATCTATGGTTACCTCATTACATCTACGTATCCTAGGGGCGATCGGGTAGCCTAGTGGTTCAAACGTTCGCTCGTCACGTCGAAGATCCGGGTTCGATTCCCGACATGGGTACAATGTGTGAAGCCCATTTCTGGTGTCCCCCGCCGTGATATTGCTGGAATATTACATAAAGCGGTGTAAAACCATACCCACTCACTCTCAGGATGGGGGGTGGGGGTGGGGGTGGGGGTGGGGGTAGGGGTGGGGGTCCGGGTTAGGATAGGTCCTCAGCAACCTATGCTGGTCGTAAGAGGCTAAGTTATTCTCAGATCCTCGTTGACTTGGCAAAAGTCCGTGTCATCGTACCCCACCGTGGACCGTTGCTCATACCATTCACTGGATTTTATCTCGCCCAGACTCGGTTATTTGCAGGACCTTGTATACATATGAACCTGCCGAACGAAGGTGGACTATCACGATACGTACGTGTACTATATACGAGGCGAGTGTTAACCTTTTAACCTGGTGTCATCACTGATTTTCAGTAATCCATTTATATAATTATTATCCCTATTTTGCTTTTGACGCCCAGATTGTGACCCTTGGTATTCCTGCGCCATACCCGTGCTCGAGGTCAAGATCTCCGACCTACCTTGCCTTTAAAGGATTCATTCGCAAACGTCATTGAAACGTAATGAAGATAATACATAAAATATGTTATATGTATTGAGCAAAGTGTTTTTGACAGTTCACGGAATCGACCAACCAGGAAAATAGAACACTGATTTTTGATTGCGTGGAAGGATAAAAAAAGATATGTTTACTTTTGGATAATACATCCATGTATCATTGGGTACTTTTTAAGTGAATCACCGATAGATGCGGGAGGAAACGCGATAAAACGTGTATATGTTTTGTGTTTTGCTTTAGCCAAAATGGCGGACCGTGAGAAAACGTATGTAACGAACAACGTGTATAACGAACTGATTTCTCCGGTCCCTTGTAGTTCGTTATATCTATGTTCTACTGTACCTGATCACATGTATCATGTTCCTGGCCACTGTAAACAGATACTAACGTAACAAAAGTCATCTGTGGCTGAATACATATTGTTTCTGAAAATATGATAAAAATACTTTGTCGGAATAAACACAACGCGTCGAAGGTATTTTACTGACGCTTCTCGATGTGGCCATTAATTTCAATTGCAAAATAATATCGATTAATAATATTTGTTGACATACTTAGTTCTGCATCATAAAGTTATCAAAATGATGTTATTATACATCTCTTCCCAAAGATCTATGATATACTGATTTTATATTAATAACAAGAGTAGTCTTAAACAATGCAGTGTTGGTACACACCCATGGACTCATCGTTGAAAGGCTGTGTGTTATGATCCTGTGGATCGAGATGTATGGAAAAACATAATCTCCCAACATGGACATATTGGAAAGGGTGTCAATATAAGATATTAACTTTTGAAGTTCAAAACTCCCCATACCCTAGATTGCCAAGTGTTTTATGTTTTTTGTGAGAAACGAGCCTGTCTATGACGTAAATGTGACCTAAATATAACGTAAATGTGAAGGAACTGGCAAGAGACCGACCAGTGATATTCAGGGCCGGGCACCTTTTGACGTTTTGAAAAATAACCTTTTCGAGAAAAAAACGCTGAAAATAAAATTGTCCCTATGTTCAACAAAAAAACATATCGCTCGTTGGACATGCTGGGTAACCTAAAATGTGTTGTGTGAATTTAGAGAAAACAAAGTGCGTGTTTTAAAGGAGTGACCAGAACATACCCTGTTTCTAAAGAAATGTCACTCCAATTCCTAAAATCGTATTGTAATTCTTCGAGCACATTTTACGGAAACATTTGCTGGGATCACATTCAAAACGTAAACTCAGCATTTCTACATCCCAGGTCTACAAATCAAGAAATCATTATGCTTACAAGTCGCATGTATATATCACAGTAAATGCAGTTAATCTTGATACATGGGGCATTTGAAAGTCAAATACCATAGTCGTGCACAAAATTAGCCCGTACGATGGCAGGTAGACTTGCACAAGCCTCTTAGGCAATTATTATTTGTTTAAATCCTAGATAATATAAATCATAAGAACAAGCCCCCATAAAAGACTGGCGTCCTTTGACTGTCTGCTTATTTAGTCTTGCCTTAATAAGAAGATAATTACTATACATCCATAGACATATCATTCAGTACAGACTTGGAGCAAGGCTAGATGGCAGGCAATATACCACTATACCAATATACCGTGCATGACGTCCAAATCCATTCAGTTACCTCTTACGACCAACATTGGTTGCTGGGGATCAGTTGTAACTCGGCGTTCCCAACGGGGTCTTAATTTCCGGGTTATTCAGAGTTTGATGGGGCTGTCGGGTAGCCTTGTGGTTAAAGCATTTACTCGTCACGGCGGGTGACAATGGGTACAATGTGTGAAGCCCATTTCTGGTGTCCCCCGCCATGATATTGCTGGAATATTGCTAAAAGCGGCGTAGAACCATACTCACTCACGCACTCACTCACTAAGAGTTTGATGCCCACAAAGTATATTTAAAAACGACTGTGCTTGATTTAGATATTTGAAAAACGTTTTAAAAAGGTTTATTCAGACTCTTTTATTCACAAAAAAGGGGAATCTTTTACTCTGTTCACAAGAGATGCAAATTCCGGTGACCTTGAATATCTAATACGCGTAGGATGTTATTATCCAATGGCGCGTCTCTCATATTTTTCATCTTTAATCACAGACAATAAAGCGTTTCTGCAGAAGAACGCTATACATAAGGTGCTCTATTAATCGTAGCACTCGCAGACATATTTTCCATATTCCATTTCATATCCGCATGCGCCGTCGCCATAGCACTCGTGACGACATGACCAGTAGCACTCTTCCTCGTCCACACTGCAAGATCGTGCCCCGCAAGTTTCGCGGACTCTCGGCTGACCCAAACCTGAAAAGACGATGACATCCTTGCACGTGAAAGTCGTAAGATTTGTTAACAACCCAGCAGGTTGATATTGTTAGACCCGCTGAACATACGCCACACAAAACCATTTACACCTACACCCAAATCATCACGCACACCCACACGCACGCACGCACGCAAGCACGCACGCACGCACACCCACACATACACATAAGGCAGAGAGATAGCCTACAGGTTAAAGCGTTCGCTTGTCACGCCGAAGCCCCAGGTTCGATTCCCCCACATTGGTACAATGTGCGAAGCCCATTTCTGGTGTCTCCCGACGTGATATTGCTTGCATATTGCTAAAAGCGGCGTAAAACTATATCCACTCACTGACATAAACACACATCCAAACCACACAAATACATTCATCAACTTCACACCACACACACCCCACCCCTCCACCCCCCACACTTCACACCCACACACTAACATCCACACACGAGCCACAACACCGACTCCCATCCACATCCACATCCACAGCCAAAACCACTCAACTACAAAACCACACCCACTCCTAAACCAACTCACCTTTACCCATCCAAACTCCAAACATCACATCATTTCCACACCCACCACCATCTCATCCGTACATCACACTCAAAGTCTCCCATCGACAATACACATACATTCCATCCATCTTGATAAGCCTATAACGTTTATCCGAGTGTCATTCAATTGATAAATATATTACGATAAATCGAAACAATGCTTAGGAAATATGTCTCATAACTATTTTCAAAGACACGTCAATCTAAGGTCACGGTGGAAATACTACAATTGTTGTTTCCGAGGACCTTACCTTGACTTACTAAAGTCACAATCAGGACCAAAACGAGAACTTTAGCCTGTGTATTCATTTTGCGTCTGTAAGCAAAACATAATGATTGATTAGTAAGCAAAACATAATAAGTGATTAACGAGCGAGTTGAGATAAACGCGGCTTTAAAAAACAGTATTCCACATGACGTGGCGGCTTCGGACTCATGAAAGAGACTCCTAGAACAAAAACACTTTGACTAGCGGTAAATTAAACCCATACGAGAACGAGCAAGGTGTTGACAGTCCAAGGATCATAATCAGGGCGAAATCGGGATTCGAACCAACGACTACCATATTTGGACAAACAACAGTATAATTGTGTTAATCTCTGAGTCAAACAGTCATACATGATACATGATAAAAAGAAACTGACCAAAGGAATCACGAAAAAACAAACATGCTCAGTAACATAACAAAGAACATTCAGTTGTTGAAGTTAGCAATGCAATGCAAGTCGTCACTTGTTTGTAAACATAACGGTCAGTCGGTTGCGAGTTCAACTCTAAGCATGGTTGTGAACAATCATCACAGTGTGGAGTTTTGACTGGTGGCAGCGATAGTATAGAGAGCTCCGCGAACGAGCTTGGTGGCAGCGATGTTACCGAGAGTGTAACGAAAGACCAGATAAGATATTTTTTATAATAGTGTCACATATTGTACATAATAAAAATATAACATGTTATCTCAGCAATGAAATGTATAATATCAATCCTGGTAAAAGCTTCAGAGACACTTCTTAAAACATGTTTAAAACATATAAATCATATTAAAACCCACCAAACATTAAAATGTAGCTGTATAGAAAACTACATACATTTTCTATAATCATTAAATAGGGACTTAATGTTTAAAGAGCACTTGGGTGGATAAAAATAACTTATAGAAACGTCAATAAAAGGTCTATGTAAACGCTTTATGTAAGTTAACTTATGGCTGTTTGAATAAGTACAAAATTAAGGGTTATATGTTCCAAACAGCATGTCGGGGAAATGCGGGATTTCCGGATCAACGAGGTTTCATCGTATAAAGTGTTCATGTCATAGACATATTGGCATAATGTTCAGCACAACTGGTTTGGTTGAAATAATTTAATCCCGTCAAATTGTCCCAGACATCTTATTGTATCTTACATGGTTGAAGGTCAATATTGTTGCTTACACATAGAGAAATATTTCAGATTCAAGTCGTCTTTGAAGATGACGTTAGAGTATACGGTATAACGTATATATTTACAGAACAAAATTATAATTTGTAAATTAAAAAGAACTTAAGAAAACATAAAATTCTGTAAACATACCACGACAGTATGACTACAGAATACAAGTTGTGAAAGAATCTTCAAAGGTCTACCTGAATAGTTTGATGTAAAAATAAACAACTTGTAATGTGTTACAAAACAGCGGATACACACAAACTGGTTGTCAGCTCAGCTCGACAGTAGAAATGTAGAATGTGTGTTTATTGCCTGTATAAATGCTTAAGTAACCCATCCTTATATTCTATCCGGTGTGATGACGCTACAGTTGTATCCTGTATAAACATCTTGCCCAACCCCGCAAGATACTGGTCATACGTACCGTATATAGTAAAGTAAATGAGGAGGTAAATCAATTATATATTCATAAAACTGTAGATCTATTCATTTGCAAGAAGCAAACGTTTTTATATATATTTTATGGGTGGTCCAGTCGTTCAATGTGCGGTAATTCTCGCACGCCCCACCCACTTTCTGGATCCGCCAGAGGGGTTCGAATCCCAGGTTCGCCCTGATTATGTCTCAAGGTTTGTCAACACCATACCCGTGCTCGTGGGTTTCACAAAAAGCGGTAAACGTCTGACCCCTGCACAATTTCGGGTGTTCCTCCGAAAGCACACAGACACGATGTGATAGAACTGAAATATTTTTCGCGGCGTTAAACCAAACTTGCTCAATCACTGTATGATACTATGCTCTTTACGTGTACAGTATATGTAAAATATTGTATTTTTAATTTTTTTTATCTCCTTTCGTATTCATTCTCATGTTTTTCAATATACATTCACGTGCTAGATGCTTTGTCTTCTTGATATAACAGCCACAGCTTTCTACCTTAAGTTATGGCGTTGTTGTAGTCGACTGGTCAAACCGTCCCTCAGAGATCCGGGTTCGAATCCAGACGGGTATAATGTGTTAAGATCGTTCCCTAATGCGTTGTAAAACCATATTCACTCACTTGCAACATTGGTATAATCGTATGTTGGATTAACCTGATAATATAAACCAAAACATACCTCTACCTCTCTCTCCAGCACCTTTCAAGCTTTGCAGCATCTGCCACAATAAAGGCGCAGTTTCCTAGAAATAGCCTCGTTGACCTTTGTCTCACCCGGATCCGTCGCTGACGTCATTCCACGTTATTACAAGTGAACAACGCACATGCACTCATTCAACGGTAAAATGGTCCTATTTGACAAAAAGTTCATTCAACCCAAAGACGTATACACACGCACGCAAGCACGCGCGTCTTTGTTTAACCCAAACATGCCTTATGCGGGCTAAAGAGACTTGAGTGAGTTGGGTTTAACGCCGCTTTTTAACACTATTCCAGTTATATTACGGAAAGCCCGAAGTGATGCAGGTCTCAGACGTTTACCACTTCGGTGAAACCCACGAGCACGGGTATGGTGCTGACAAACCTAGAAACATAATCGGGGTGAACCGGTATTCGAACCCACAATCATAGGTTTCTGGCGTGCCCAAGGGACGCAAATCTGCACAGCGAATCGCGGCTCCTTGGACGTCTGGGCCACCCGTGCCCCCTGACGAGACTTGACCACATATTGCTCTTGTTAAGATTTTGTTGAAATGTTGTACACCAATACACAAATATAGCTGCTGTTTACTAATGAACTGGGCCGACTAACTTCATAAACTTTCATTCATTCAACTTCTTAAAACAATAACAAAATGTCTGTTAACAACGTTTTATTACGTATAGTAAATCTAACACTTGCAAATATCCAATTTTCACATTACATTTGCAAACACGAATACAGCGTTATCACTATTCCCCACCATGGGGCACATTAGAATTAGGTTTGTTCACATAGTAGTAAATAATATGGTAGTTAATGTAAACTATAAAAAAAGACCTATAACTATAACGCCTTAAGAAGAGATAGGTACTGGGGAGGCTTCATGTCATGAGAAAATCTGATTAAATGTGAAATTAATACACACAAATGCGCCTTCTCTGTAACAAAATAATACATGGCACACTTTTCAAACTCTTACAAATATATATATATATCTCTTACATAATATTTGAAAGTTTCATTCATGTAACTTCAGTAGTTCCTGGGAAAACTTGTCATTTGTTGAAATAAGTTGACATGGATCAAAGGCAATAACTCAAAAATGAATTTAGGACACTTATATGAGATCATTACCAGTTACATCAGTGCTTAAAATTTCATTTCTCTAACTTATGTAATCAATACACCAGCCACATCAATGCCAGGACGCGACAATGGGATGTGTCTCTTGAGCAAAGGTGAGCACAAAAGTACTCATGGAAATTAAAAAAACACCTGTTTTGCTGGATTTAATAATCGACACAAAGCATTAGGTAGATGTAAATACGAAATAACAAAACAACTGGAAAAGTACTAGTCTGGATTTGCTAGTTTTATCTCAGCGCTCAATACAAAATGTACTTTACAGGAGGTAATTTGTAGGCACTTTCAACATTCAAAAATGAAACTAAGTCCAAATTGACATAGCAGAAACAGGCTATAGGCATTATGCAAATTAGCCTGGAAAAAAGTTATCAAAACAACAATAAAAATAACAGCTATGTTTATGTACATAATAATAATGACATGTAAGTTGTTGTTTGAGAAGGGAATATGTTACTTTTACGTTCTGATATTTTGACGATGATTCACTATCCCACAATGCCACTCACAAATCACTAACCACTGACAAATCACATGCACGTGGGTTTCAAGCACCTGTTTTCACCTGTCGTCAAGGTGTCATAGGTCATGGACATTCACCTTGATCTACTAACCCCTGGTCATTCTCAGTTTCACAATAGTCTGTTTTGTTCATATTTTTACACACTTTTACGTGTAAAACGACATAAAAACCTTTGATACGCTGTATTTGTGCCAAGGCCCAATTAGTACTAATTGAGTTGTTTGAATATTTATATATTTTGTATATTAACTGCATTTATTTAAAATCTGAGATCGAAAAAACAGTTTTTTGTCATTTCCGTGAGTACTTTTTTTTTTTTTAAAACCCCGGTCGATGTGCCGAGCGAACGTTTTAACCAGTTGGCAACCCCACCCCACATCACTCCGCCTACCTACCCATCACTAACCCGTCAGTCCAACACCTCGACTGCAAGTGCTGTACCTATCAGCCAAGTGTTATAAACGTGTAGAATGTGACTTGGATAATTATATACATAACACGGTTATAACGAACACGCTTATAACGAACTGATGGAAATAACATACTGTTTTTAGACCTGTCCTTTTGCTGTTGATAATTAGACAATGATTTTATATATTTTATCTAATTATCAACTGCAAATGGCTGTGTGTGTGTGTGTGTGTGTGTGTGTGTGTGTGCGTGTGCGTGCGTGCGCGTGTGCGTGTGTGTTAAAATCATTATCTAATCAGGAAAGTCATATCCTAAGGCTAATAACACTTGGCAGATAGGTACAGTACTTGCATTCAAAGTCCATTTACAATAAATCTGAAAAGAGAAGGGGTCTATCTCTGCTATATTTGAAAATACTAATCTGTTCCGAAAATGCTTGGGAAAATTTTTGTTCTTAAGGTTTACTGTCTGTCTTAAGTGTATACCTGTCTCCAATGTTTTACACAGATATGAACTCCATTCAGAATTGTTAGCACTGCAAACCTTGGCTACACTATGGCTATATAATCTCAAACAGTCGTTAATTATTAACATAGAGAAATCTTCAAACGCGGAAACCGTGACTTATATAACAAATTAATTCACACTCATGTCGATACAAACATCAACTTTAACGAGGACATGATAATAATTGTTAATCAAAAATTTCCAGTCCAGCACATCATAAAGTTTCTTTGTTCGTGAAGCGTGTTTCAATGTCTAAAATCATTCAAAACACGCTCTAGCAAATATTGATAAATTTATTGTATTGCACAATGGATGTCTATGATTATTTAAACCTTGGAGTGATGATTAACTTCCAAGCGATTGGACCCGTTAAGATCAAAGACAACAAACAAAATCAAAACGATTGCTATATAACAAAGAAGATCCATCTTCTTTCATGGAGTACATCCAAATAAAATGTAATCATTCCAGCTTTCTTGCTGCCAGAGATCTTCAGTATCGGGAGAATAAATTTCTGAAAATGAAACTATTCTGAGCTTTTTTCGATCATATATTATAAGTCAAGTTAGCAAAACAATAAGTCAATATTTTCACAAGCAATGTCCGTGATATAATACCTTCTCTGAGGTCCTTTTCAAAGAAACCAAAATGAAGCACGTGAAAGTTGTTATCCAACTTTATGCTTCAAAAACATCCTCAGGAACCGAGCAGACATGTTTGTTGGGACTGGCCAGGTCATGGATGTCGGATCTGAAGAAATGACAGTCTCGGAAACGGGTTGTATTATCCCTGTCGGGTTACACAACGAACAGTCCTTAAACCACCATCCTGACATGTATGCGCCTGCACAACTTCCGGCGGAACTGTCGTTGTCTATGGTGGAAAATGGAATTCCCTCGAGGTTTGACATGCAGTCGTCGAGAACGTGGTCGCCTGTCTTCGGGTAATGGTAGGTCACCGAAAAGCGATATCCGTTACTTTCGGAAGATACCTACAAACAGAGTATTCCAGGATAACGTGAACATGGTTTTGAAAATATGAATGAAGTTGTATGCAGGTATATAGCCTCTGATGAAATATACGATAAGATTGCCCGCAAAGGTATGGCGATTAAAGGGCGAAGCGAATAAGATTCTATCTCCATAGCAAAAACAACATTATTTTGTAAAACACTTGTTGACTGCTGGTACTGGTAGACAAACGCTTAGCTTCTAAAAAATATATGATTTTGATTGAAACAAACAACTCAATTTGATTTGAAAAAGAGTCCCAGAAGATGGGAGATTAAGAACCAGTAGAAAGTGTAAACTTGCTTCATTTGGAGCTATAGCATTACACTAATGGCTTGGCGGAAGGGTGGGAGAGTGAGTTTGATTTTACGCCACTTCAATCTTTATTTCAAGTACTGAAAAGGCCATAGCTATTAGGCCTATAGTACATATATACATACAGTAGCAATGGGTGCAATAGGAATTACTTATATCGTAACAAAATATCGCATCTATAATGGCATCTATACGCCACTTTTACCCATGTCGGGAATCGAACCCGGGTGTTCGGCCTGACGAGCGAACGCTTTAACCACTAGCCTACCCGATGTCCCCTGCGCGGAAGGGGAAATAATATGGTTCAGGAACTGTGATTCAGCCTAGACTTCTAGCTGAACGTTTATATGCGGTAATGTCTTAACTACTCTTAGTTGAAAGTGGACACTAGGCAGTACAGAAATCTGCCACTTTCCGTCAGTTTTAAATCCGTAAATCCACAGCAGAAACATCAAGTATATGTGCTGTACAGTGTAGCTACGTGAGTGAGTGAGGATGGTTTTACGCCGCTTTTAGCAATATTCCAGCAATATCACGGCAGGGGACACCAGAAATGGGCTTCACACATTGTACCTATGTCGGGAATCGAACCCGGGTCTTCGGCTTTGCGAGCGAACGCTTTAACCACTAGGCAACCCGACCGCCCCTGTAGCTACGTAGTCGCGATACATGTATATAGTTTAAATCGATGAGGTTTTATTCCCCCAGTATGATCCGAATTAAAAATACGGACCAATATCAGTATTGTCTGGAACAAGGGCCAGAGTTTGAGGTTCCAGAGTTAGAGCTTTTACGGTATTCACAGGGGTAGCCGCCATTGGTTCTATCCAACGAGTCCGCAAATCATTTCAGAAAAGGGGTTATGTAAAATATTTCGAATTTTATAGAAAACTAGCTCGTCTAGATTTCACGACTGACTGACTGACGGACTAGTTGTGTATATCCCGATTCACCTTAAACATGTGATAAAAATGTTGCCTGTAGTTCCACGTGGATATTTCTGGAGGTTCGGCCATAATGCCTTCGATGCCAAGTAGATGATCTCTACTTGTGGTGATCAGATGAATCTTTTCATTCCCGAGCCAGAAGTTGCCTCCCATAGAAATGTCACCGAACCCGTCCCTGTAGTCGTTCCAGCCTCGGCTGAAGTTGACGTAGGGGGCGTCGTATGCTCGTCGAAGAACGAACAACTCTCCTCCCCACTCCATTTCACAAAAAACCTAAAACATTTATTGCTCGAATTATATGAATCTCATTAAAACCAGAGCTTAGTGCTCGCTACCACAACACAAAGATATATGGATATCCCATTACAGAACGACCTTTTGCGAACTTTGGCCGACCAATCAAATGACAAGCAAGAAGTCGACATCAGCCAATCAGAAATCAGCTTGTTCGAGCTCTGCGACACTAGTTTCAAAACTGACGATATCCATTGCAAACTACGCTTTAAAAGATATCAATTCAAAATAAAAACTGAACACAAGAAAATTCTGCGATGTCTAATAGATGACCGAAATTGTATGGCAATACTAACCACGGGCTTTTCCGTTTCAAATTTTAATGCATTTAAGCGAGAGATGGACGAGGGTTTTGACGTAATCCGCCGTAAAGGCTGTAACTGTCGTTCAGAATACCCCATGTTAACCATTTCGAATTTGCATGATTAGAAAACACATTCCGCGTGTGACTTTCCCGATCTGGTAAGCGACGCTCTGATTGGTCAGGTGAAAGATCGTCCTTACGTGACCCGTCATGGGATGTCCTGAGATCTGTGTTAAGGGCAGCGAGAACTAAGATCTAATTTTAATGAAATTGGAATTATATGATATTATTAATTATATTGGAAATAGTAAATTTGTTTTGATTGTTGTTGAACGCCGCAGTCAGTACTATGTCAGCTAGAGTATAGGAATACACTGAAATGGGCCGATTTAATGACTGATCGTATTTTCACGTGAATGTTCACTTGGAATGTTAACAGTAGCAAAATACGACAAAAACGAAAATTGCCAAGCCAATTTCCTGCTGCCAAGGCAATATTCACAGCACGGTCGACGTCTAATTGTGATTCTGTAATATATGCCAATCGCAATAAAATAGCTCAAATCAGCAACTGGTTAGGCACGACAGTGATGAAAATGTACAGCCTGGTATCAAATAGCACCAGATAACATTGATGAAGATACCTACCACCTTTAGAATGAATATATACCGTATGCTGAACAGGGCTTACAACTTGGAATATATATTACTAGATTGGCAGGAAATTGGATTTAAAGATTACTATTGTCTGGTTACAGTATTATTTCTGGGTACTGGATATGGGACAGGCATTTATTGAGAACACTGCAACACAACTGTCATACCGTATTTGCTCCAAAAACGACCGAGTATTAATTTCGCACAAGCCGTTGACTATAAAAGTCCAGTTTCCATCCTTGCCGAACTAGGCTGGTATTATGGAGTTATATTTTGGCTGGACTAACGAGTCTATGCATAGTCCAATCAAAATCGCGCACCGAAATCGAAATCAGGTTAGTAAACTGTCGTGCAGATTTCGGTCGATTGCAGGATATGTAAAGCATGTGCACCGCCAACTCGTTGTCAGCATACATTTTCCAAGTCTTTTCATGTTTTTAATCAAGGTGCTCACGTGATTTGATGCACTTCGCGATGTAAGACCCGTTTTATCAGAATATAAATCTTGATTATCGATCAGATCGTCTTGACTGGGCGCCGCCATTTTGTTTGAAACAAATGCAAGTGATACGAGAGGTGGAATCGGATTGGTCTATAGGAGAGGATAATGAGGGACATATCGTAACAGCCACCGGTGGCGCTACGATCGAGCCCAGGAATTCCAGCCTTGTTCGGCAAGGGTGGAAACTCGACTTTTAAAGTCAGTTAACTCCCTTGCCTCGGGAAGATGCCGTCTTTTAGAGGCCGGTGTGTATTCTGTTTAAAGCTGGCACAGTGACAACTAACTACCTCACCAAATCCCAAATTCTAGTCATACGAAGGGTACATTTGCAGGAAACGGTCATTATTAATCAACAACATATCACTGTATTAGAGACAGTTTTTGTTTGTTTGACAGAGCATATAACCTGGCGTATTGAAGGGCCTGCGTCTTACAGAAGAAGTAAGGTACACAGCTTGCTTTTGCGTATGATGCATAAGATGGCTCGAGAATGCAAACGGTCAGAAAGAGTCAGTGAGTTTGGTTGGAACAGTACGAACAAAGGAAAACCGTTTCTAGTATAAATATCTATGTTTAATATGCAATGCAAGATTTGCGCCTTATCCGTTGGCCGAGAAGCGGTCACAAGTCATTCCACAGAAATGCATATTGACACATATCAGGTCAGATAATTTACGGTAGTCACTTGAGTTACTCAAAATATAACGGGTGGGTGGGTGAGTTCGGTTTACACCGCTTTTAGCAATATTCCAGGAATATCACGGCGGGGGACACCAGAAATGGGCTTCACACATTGTACCCATGTCGGGAATCGAACCCGGGTCTGCGGAGTGACGAGCTAACGCTTTAACCACTAGGCTACCCGACCGCCCAAAAATATAATTCTTGTCTGTTGACAGGAGGCAGATGGCGTGCTCTAATCTGTCTGTCAAGATGGTCCCACAGATGATCAATAGGATTCATATCGGGTGAGTGGGCAGGCCAGGGCAAAACGTCAACGTTCTGCTGGTTTAGAAAGTTCCGAGTCAGTCTTGCAGTATGGGGCCTGGCATTGTCGTGTTGAAACAATGTCCCCTGCTGTTGGTTTTGTAAGAACGGAAGCACAACTGGCTGCAACACTTGGTCTCTGTACTGCACAGCGTTCAGATTTCCCTGTACAATCACCAAATCAGTCTTCTGATCTCCACAAATACCACCCCGCACCATTACACCTCCCCCGCCGAATGGATGGACCTCTCGAATACACGCCGGAGCCAAACGTACCCCTCTGCGTCGATAAACACGTTCTCTGCCGTCATTTCGAAACAAGTTAAACCGACTTTCATCAGTAAACAGCACTCGACGCCAATTTCTCACTTGCCAGCGTCGAACCTGCCTCGCCCATCGCAGTCTCAGGCGTCGATGTTGAGCAGTCAGTACCATTCCTCGGAAAGGACGATACGCTCGGATTTCAGCAGCACGAAGTCTTCGTAGTACTGTACGTTGGCTAATGGAATTTCCCAACACTGTTGCTGCCGTCGCCGTCGCCGTTACGAATATGTTTAACAGGTGAATGAGCCGTATCTGACCGTCTTCCAGTGGTGTTGTCACTCGGGGTCGCCCGGTTCTAGGCCTGCCCTATGTCCTCCCTGTCTGCCTTTACCGTTGAATCAGCCTGGCTACTGTCAATGGTGTACAACCAAACCTTCTGGCAATTTGGGCCTGTGTTGCCCCCATTTCGGCCATACCGATGGCTCTCTCTCTCTCTGCTCCTGTGACAGTCGTGGCATTTCTTTTGTGTGCTTTCATCACGTGTGGTTATACCCTGCAGACGAACGACATTTATACAGCTAACATGCACGTGCAGTTTATGCCATAGGCTGGGGACCTGTTTCACCATTTGTTTGTCACCGCACGAGCGCCGTCAAAGGTGGCGCGTTCGAGTGAGGTGTTTTTTTGGTACCTGTTCCTGGGCAGTCATATTCCCAAAACCCACTTTCCACGAGTTATCGCTGTTTTTAGGAAAATTACAAATTGCCAACCTATACCTTCTTTTGCCGCTTAGTTTTTTTGGCCTTAAAAGCGAACGCAGCAATCACCAGGGTATTAACTTGACAGCTTACTCTTACAATTATATCGTAAGCATATACATTCAATATATTATTTGAGAGTATTTGTGAGTGGCCTCGGAAAATAGAACCACTAGACCGGGTTTGGCCAAAGTAAAATACTCTGAATTCACATAAAGTTGTGTTTGTTGTTTACGCCGCACTCAGCAATATCACGGGAACCTATAACTAATGAAGTGTGGATCAGACAATGATTGACATCGTGGACATCCATCCACGCAATTTGGGTACGATGACAATCAATGAACCGAGACCCGTGAAGATCCGGGGTAGAATAGGTCTTCAGCAACCCATGCTTGTCGTAAGAGGCGACTAACGGGATCGGGTGGTCAGGCTCGCTGACTTGGTTGATGCATGTCATCGTATCCCAGTTGCATGGATCGATGCACATGTTATCGATCACTGGATTGTCTGGTCCAGACTCGATTATTTACAGACCCCCATAATATAGCTGGAATATTGCTGAGTGCGGCGTCATCAACAAACAAACAGTGAACCGAGCCACCAAACCTCTCGCGGTATAACGAAATGGTTTAAGATCTTCATCTCGGGAACAGTATTACCTCGGAGTACGATGACACACAATCAGCCAGGTCCGACTCATACGTTGTGACCACTCCATTCTCGCTAACCTCTCCCAACAAGTATACCAAACTACTGACTCCCAATAGAGTGAAAAGAGTTCCAACAATTGCGTAATATAAAACTGATACAGTGAAATCAAATGGTGTCATCACAAAACTCACTCGCTCTCTAGACAACACACTCACTTGGCCAAACCATTTCACTTACTCATTGGATACGCACCTGAAACGGGTACGTCGATGCAGTGGGGTGGATGGTAAAGACGTCTTTCATGCCGTTGTAATGTCCAGAAACAAAACCATCATTGCAGTCTGAAACAAACAAACAAACAAACAAAATTTCAGCAGCTGGTTGACACAAGAGTGGGCAATCAAACCAAGGTATTCATCGGCGGTTAGAGATTCTCACAACACTCCTCATTTAAGCATAGCGAATTCTTGCACTTGCTACATGGATCGATGGAGCAGAGCCGCAAATGAGAGATCGTCACTTTATCATGTACAGTGCATTTATGTTCCAGTTATTGTGCTGCAGAAGTCTTGGCGTCGTGCAAGGATTGCGTGTTGCACGTGCGAATCGTGCAGTGATCGAGAACTCGTGACATCACCTCAACGGGATAACGGTCACTCGTGACGCTGTAATGATACACCTTGGAGCGATACGTCATGTATCTCAGGACGGGATCACGAAACGCAACCTTTCCGTAGCATATTCTTATTATTTGGACTTTTGAACGGAGTGAGTGGACGGAGGTTTTACTCCGATTTTAGAAATATACTGAGTCAAATTAAAAACTTCACATTTTTAAAAGTAATCCCATATATGATATACAACGGACAAATGTATCAGAGAAGGTAATTTTTAATCATTAATGTCCAAAGAAGGATTTTAATTGACGGTGGTAACCATAATTTGTTCCAAGCACCTACGGTATTGGGTAATGATGTTGATGTAAGCTGTATGTAAGCTTAATGTTGGAGCCAAAGTTATACACGAAGATGAAGCCACACTGAGATTCGAACCCGGGACCAGCTGAGTCTGGTCGGATTCCGCTGGGCCACCCGCGTCCCCTTTCACGCTGAGTGCGGCGTTAAACAACAAACAAACCAACCAACCAGCCATGTAGCCTCAAGCTGTCTGCCCCCATCTTGTCTCAAGACAAGAAAACAACCAACGCACATTTTGTTTCCACTGTCGATAAACGTCCGTGCATCCGCGACCGCTGTCTTGATACGCCCCGTCTCTGAATTAATAAGGGAAATCGCCAGCGGAAAGTTATTGTTACCGAGGATAATTTTCTTGTAAAGGTCCATCAATACAATTTTAGAACTTGTTTGTTCAATAAACACAAATAGAATTGAGTAACAAACACACAGGAAATAAGATATAATTGTTTTACACCCGAACGTGTTAGTTGAATTATGTATCGGGTTTTGTCATATCGTCAATATGGTTGAAAAAGGGGGACATGCTCCATCTACCGCAATCGTTACCTGACGTTCCGAAACATGCGCTGTAATAACAGACTCACAAGGCTAACATTGAACAACACGAATCCAGAAAGCTGGTAACAAAAGGGGATCTCACAGGAAAGCATTTCCTATAGGAAATGAAGTTTATTTCATGGATAAAGGCTTTTTCTTCAATTCAATCCCACGCCGTGATATCGATATAGCTGAAATAGTGTTCAGTGGGGCGTTAAACCAGACTCATCTTTTCACTATCTGAACATACTCTCTGAATCCAAGTAATGTGGAAGGGAATGTGAGAGGAAAGCACTCCATCTTCTTTACCTATATCCCGACATTCCTTATGTGGCACATTAATACCAATCTGAATTGTAATCAAGCTCTTGATTTCCGCAACTTCGCCATCATAACACAACAACGATGTTCAGAGATAACTGCATTAAACACTTGTCTTTGAACAATAAACTTAAGTCAAACAAAACCTCGGACACTCAGCTGGGGTTCATGCAGTGAAACTGGGGAGCATCGTTTACACACATGCACAACGATAACCAAGGAAAAATCCAAGAAAAGATATTATAAAAACGGTTCGAGGAGTTGTTTGTTATACCAACAAAGTACATCCACAGTGTTCGTCCGATGTACCCAGTGACTTCAGGTTTTTTTTATTAAAATAGGCCATAGCTCGCAAGTATTACTTTCAAGACCTTTCATTACTTATTGATCAGGATGACGTTGTACTAAGCGATCTTAGCGCTAAGGTGATCGTAACTCCCATACCTTAACATAGACATACATCGTAGGCTAAACTTGTTTTGTACAACGGCATCCAGGGCCCTGTTCCACAAAGCGATTTTAGGAGCGGGCCATCAGGGGCTGAGGTTTTAATTTTCTAATAGCTGAGATTTTGTTTTTACGGCACATTTCAAATTCATCCTTGAAAGACTGTAACAATTTTGGATGTAGGGAATTTTGAAACAGAACAATGAAAATAGCAGTATGATATGGCATTTTTTAAATATATAAAAGACCATTTTTTACAAAAACATGTGTAGCAAAACCCAGTCAACTTGGCATCTTTGTACTCACATCTACTGGAGGGATGTACTTTTCAAATACTGAGATGATGTGGATGAGGGACATAAGTAGCATAACCTTTGATGTCAACTGATTAAAAAAAGAAACGCTACCAAACGGAAAGTTGGAAACGTTGGGTCCAAACCCCGAATAGTGTTACAAAAGTATACTGACAAAACTGCTTGACTGTTGGGTGTAAGGGAAGAAGAATAGCCTTTAATCGTTAAAGGCCAGGGAACTATGATCTACGAATGTGATATTTAGCATTAAACACAGTCTGTGTTTATTGACGTTCAAGTATATAGGGATAAACTTAGTCATAGATGTGGTCACATTGATATTTATCGTTTATGTTTATATATTTATGTCTTTGAACGATTATACATGTAGTTATTGCTGTACATGTATACACCTCGTCATAAATATCGCACCACACATTTTAAAGTAAAAGTAGAAAATATAATTTTCATATACTACACCATCTGTGAACATAATATCACAAACACACCCTGTTCAGAGCTGCACGTGCATGCTTGCGTTGAGCATGCTTGTACCGGGGGTCGGTTTGCTAAAAATGAAGTATGCACAGCATTTCCTCGTTTGGCGTATGTCATGTTGGCAGACACAACTAAAATTTGGTTTTAGGCATAAATTAAGCTTTATTTTGACCAACCAGTGAAATGCCCAAGCGTCCAGTGCCTCTGAACCAAAGATGGCAAATTATTGGTTTGCACCAGACTGGTATGTCATGTCGTGCTATTGGAGCACAACTGAACATTAATCACACTGCCATCAGCAGGCTAATACGTAAGCATACTGCTTCCGGTGAAGTGAAGGATGCACCGAGGTCTGGACGTCCCAGAAAAACCAATGACAGGGAAGATCGTGCTCTCGTACGCCAAGCCAGACGAAGCCCAAAGTCTACTTGTACACAGCTGCGACATAGATGGTATCCATACAACAGAGTGTCCATCAGAACCATCAAACGACGCCTAAATTCTGCAGGATTGAGAGCAAGACGACCAATCAGACGTCCACTCCACACAAATCAGCACCGCCATGCCCGTTTAGCCTGGTGCCAAGCACGTGCTCGCTGGAATCTGAGGACATGGAGAAGGATCCACTGGTCCGATGAAAGCAGACTTTTGCTGCATCATACAGACGGGAGGGCACGAGTTTGGAGGCAGAGAGGCACAGCATATGATCAGAGGAACATTCAAGCTGATGTTCCATTTGGGGTCGGATCCGTCACGGTGTGGGGGTGTTGTTCCTACGATTGTAAACTTGACCTCATCACAGTTCCCGGAACACTGAATGGACAGAGGTACCAGAACTTGATCCTGGACGGTGCTGTTGTGCCTCATTTCGATAACCATGCTCTCGCCCACACGTCCAGTCTTCATGGACGATAATGCCAGACCACATCGTGCTCGAGCTGTTGTTCAGCATCTCCAACACAACGCCATTGAGGCACTACCCTGGCCTGCCAGAAGTCCAGACATTAATCCTATTGAGCATTTGTGGGACATTTTGGGACGTAGGGTGAGAGCAAGGGATCCTCCAGTTCAGAACCTTCAGGAATTGACCCATGCATTTGCATGCTGAGTGGCAGCAGAGAATCAGACGTCTGGTGACCAGCATGAGACGGCGTGTAGAACATGTTATCCAAGTGCGAGACGGTTACACCAGATACTGGCCAGTTGGCCAGTCATTGTGGACCTAACTAGTGTGTTCGACATTAATGAAATGTGCACTGTGTTGTGTGTCTGTTGTAACGACTCCGGCAGCCGTACTTATTTCGCCTTATTTCACGGTGATTTTAGTGAACTTTAGTTTGCTACAATTAAACCCTCAATTAGTGCTCAAATTCGGTCTTGTGTTGTCAATTTTCTGACTGAACGCTCACATGAGGCCATATAAACAGTTTAATGTGCTTTTCTAAGCACCATTTTTATGAGGTTGAAGATCCAGTTTTACTTAGTGAAAAAAGTGGGTGGTGCGATATTTATGACGAGGTGTATATATATCGTGTAATGAAATATCCAATAAAGCTTGGTATTGTCTTGAATCATGTAAGTGTGCTCTTTGAATTGATTTTGAACCGGATCACCACTCAGATGAGAATGAAAGACTTAGCCAACTGAACAACCCATTCACACAAGCTCAAATTGATTTTGAGTACCTTGGGTATACATATTGGATCAAGTGGTATGACACCGGATACATCATGGTTATGTTCATTGACGTGGTAATGATTTGCAATTTGCTGATTAACGAGTCATCCCTTGCATCTTCAGTGTGTATTGTTACAACATAATTGAACACATCTATGAGGCTGAGGATGTGTAAGTATGCTGAAGATGGGCATTTCATTTTGGGCTTTGTATCAGCTTACTTGCAAGTGTTTAAAAATTGATTGCTTCTAAGCTTCTACAGTTTATAGATTTTAGAACTTTGTTGTGTACATTTTGATGTAAGATGTAAACATGATCTTTTCAAATATGCTGGGTGTCTAATTTTATGTCTCGTTAATGGAAAACTGATCGTATGAAACCAAATGACCTGAAGATATACGGGATAGGCTGAAACAGGATTCCAAAGGCCGCGTAAAGAATCAAATAGATCTTTTAAAATCATTATGTAGCCGCAGATCAAAGACATCCAGAAACTAGCCGAAATATTAAGGACTAGCCGAAGCGTGTGAAACATCCCATACGTTCGCGACTGGAAACATGAAACGGTGTGCGACGCTTGGCGAACTCCGTGTGGAGACACAATTGTGACAGCAGTTGGAGATGTTTTTAGCAGTAGTTTAACATGAATACCTTTCTCAGACACAGTAAACTGACTCCTTGTTTTCGCTCCTTAATGCCGAGCACCAGGCAGGGTAGCAACAAGTACTATCTTTTAACGTCTTTTGGTTTGACGCGGCCGGGGATCGAACCATCAGGGCGGACGCTGCACCACTCGACCACGGAGGCGGTCGCGTTCAATATGAAGTATACCTACCTTGCATGAGGCGTTCACACTTGACACCCACGTAGCTGTTGTAACATCGACATGAGTTGGAAACCTCGTTGTACACTCCACCATTGAGACATGGCGGTTCCTGGAGATTATACAATAGTATTAATGTTGGAACTTATAACGCAGATATTCATATTACTAAGTTATACTAAAATATTTCTCCTGTTATACAGGGAAACATCTTTAACCCAATTATGTTTGTTTTGTGTTTGTTTTGTGTTTGTTTGTTGTTAAAACGCCACACTGTGCTATATTCCAGCTGTATACTGGAATAAAAACGGCTCCACTGGCCGGGGAACAAATATAAACCGCATTTAAGCAGATTCTAGTACCTGTATAAGAGCGTATAATAATAATAATAATGATAATGATAACGATAATGATGATGATGATGATAAAAATGTAAATATGAAGTGTAGATTATACCCAGCTTTGGCACGAACACAGTATCTTAAGCAACATGATAGCTGTTATTGCCGTCTTCGCCATGCTTGTGGTTTTGACAGAGATCCATCCATGGTACGGCCCAGAATATACGGAGGGCGGCGTGGAAAGTGATGAATACGAAATTCTTTGGAATAGGCCCGTATTCAGCCTCAAACCTATCCAGGAAAACAAACCTGATCTTGTTATCAAGCTGGAAACCAGAAGTTGTTATCCATAAAGTTGTACCTTTTCTTACTTACTCACAAACTAGTAGAATGTCAATCAAACAGTTGCCAATAAACCGGTACCTATTGATAGTGTCAGCTTCATTATTTGTGTGATGGTAGTGACAGGTGTTCTGTTTGTCAGTACTGTACTCTTAGGTCGTGTTTCCAACAATGAATCACACTAGTTATGTCTTAATGTAGCACATATCCGAAAAAGTTGGTGGTGCTTAATAAATGTTCATGAGTATATATCGAATGTATCGGCAGTAAAAGGCAAACAGGGTATCTATATTTGTCCATCAGAGGTTTCTGCCGAGACCAGGAAGGTACACCAGCGATATGTCGAACATCGAGTAAATGGTGCTCGAATTAACTTTCAGGGTATTGTACGATCACTTTGGAGTCGCCCCGCATCTGTTTTAGGCGATACGCATACTGTATTTTGGATTGGATTTGACCTTTAGCTCTTGGCCTGATATCAACATGGTCCTATAGCTTTCTTCCCGAACACAGACGTTGTTTCAATACAGCACATATAAACGAATATTCTTGAAGCACATTCTTAAAATATCACCAGCGAACAACAATTGTAATTATAACATCCCAACGTTCTATATATTACAGGGGGCACGGGTGGCCCAGTCGTCTAAGGCGCCGCGATTCACTGTGCAGAGTTGCGTCCCTTGGGCATGCCAGAAACCTATGATTGTGGGTTCGAATCCCGGTTCGCCCCGATTATGTTTCTAGGTTTGTCAGCACCATACCCGTGCTCGTGGGTTTCACCGAAGTGGTAAACGTCTGAGACCTGCATCACTTCGGGCTTTCCTCCCACATTAAGCTGACACGCCGCGATATAACTGGACTACTGTTAAAAGCGGCGTAAAACCCAACTCACTCACTCACTCACTCTATATATTACACTTAATTTTAACCCAAACCTACCCAATACCAACAAAACTTACCAACTTTGACACATATAAACAAGCCTATAGTCGCCTTCAAATAGATGAAGAAGTAAGCGCTGCATCTTACCTTGTCAGAATTGAAATGAAGGTAAGAGTCCGTACACTCAGTGTCTAGGAGAACCACATCATTTATGTAGCATGTCCGTGTGGACGGGTGGACACTAAATGACTTACACCCTTCGTCTTGAAGACACTTGGATGCACAGAATACTCTTATGCTCCTGTGGAAATTCGGCAAACTGAGGGCAATGGCAGTAGTTCCCGCTGGGTCGAAACAGGCATTAACTTTTGCAAAGGAGCCTGTCGAAATTGAAACGATGTCGGTTATCCACTCCGCGGCCAGAAAGATGATGACCGTCAATATTGGTTCCAATCCCATTGTAGTTGTGGGGTTTAGAACACAGAAGTGGTAAAAAGCAATAGTAGGCTTTTGTTTCGTCCAGTAGAACAGAATAGTTGCCCGTGTTTCTTCTAGTAGAACAGAATAGTTGCCCTTGTTTCGTCTAATAGAACAGAATAGTTGCCCGTGTTTCTTCTAGTAGAACAGAATAGTTGCCCGTGTTTCCTCTAGTAGAACGGAATAGTTGCCCTCGTTTCGTCTAGAAGAACAGAAAAGTTACCCGTGTTTCGTCTAGTAGAACAGAATAGTTGCCTTTATTTCGTCTAGTAGAACACAAATGTTGCCTTGGTGTCGTCTAGTAGAACAGAAAAGTTGCCCGTGTTTCGTCTAGTAGAACAGAATAGTTGCCTTTATTTCGTCTAGTAGAACACAAATGTTGCCTTGGTGTCGTCTAAAAAAACACTAAAGTTACCCCTGTTTCGTCTAGTAGAACAGAATAGTTGCCCGTGTTTCTTCATGTAGAAGAGAATAGTTGCTTTTGTTTCGTCTAGTAGAACAGAAAAGTTCCCCTTGTTTCTTCCTGTATAACAGAATTACCGACACACAACTATTGTGAAGTGTATACGAAGTTGCCCATAACTTATACTGATGCTGAATCTCAAGAACGCCTTTAAGGTTCAATGGTTAGCCAACTTCTGCCGTTTACAGTGACGCATCCTCGCCGCTTCTTCGCTATTGGTTCGGTGATTGATTGATTAACTCTTGGGTGCTTGAACCGTTTCATGGCTCCACACCATGAGTTCTACTGAAGTAAGGAATACGGATACAGCTATTTTATGAGTGTAACCTACATATTCCTTTTCTTCATTAGTGACGCTTCAGAGGCAATTTCACCGTGTTCAAAAACATATTATGTGTCCTTGTATGCATCAATCAATCGACCCACTGAGGTTGTTGAACTGATGAATCCTCTTTACAGGGCAAGTCAAGTCAACATATCAACTTTAGGAAACCTAATCACAAATGGTTGACCAAAATTAAGTTTGAAAAGGGGAAAAACCGTAAAACGGACGATAAGAAACGACAGGCAAAATCGTCCTCCAGACGAAACATTCCGCCACTGCGGGGATTCCCTATAGTGATGTTTTTATTTATTTATTTTTATTGTATACTTTTTGGTATAGTTTTAAGAAGTAGTTATTTCCGGAATGTGTAATTAAATATGTTTCATGGTTGGACATATTTACATGATTGCTGGGACCATACTGATTTTGCGAAAGGAGTGACCTATGTTTAGTATTTATGAAAAAAACATGACTTTTGACAAGACTTACGAATCTGTAACAAACACGAATGTCTTGACTACTTTTTTTTACCGGAAATCCAAGACAGCAGGCCGTTGGCGTCTATCACTGAGCCCTAGTCGTCTCCCAGAACCTAGAGAATAGATTAAACAAGGAGACCAACTCAAGTCTAGAATGATTTGGCAAGTCTAGATTACCTCATCTCTGAAATTAAGGATTGTTCTGGGCTCCATTTGGATTTAATTTGTTTCATTTTGTAGATATATCATTTTTGATAAGATAACTTTATTTCTGGGACTAAATGTCAGTCTTACTGAACCCACGAATACTGTTATGGTTCTGAAGGACCAGAAATCTGGCAATTCGTGAAATCCGGAACTGGAACCCGGATGCAGCGGATCCTGTCAACACGTGGATTGAAGAAGCATCGGAGGTCGTACTAAAATATGTGTTGAACGAAAACTGGACAATAACGATATTGAGCTTCAGTAGTGAGTGAGTTAGGTTCCAACCGTTTGACAATTATGTCATGGCGCGTCAACTTTAATCACTTTTGTCAAACCCACGAGCGCGGTTTTGGTTCGAGACATGCCTAAGGGACGCAACCCTGCACAGCGCATTGCGGTGCCTTATTCTACAGGGACACTCGTGTGTGCTTTATCTTCTTTTGAGTAGTATATTACAGGGGCCACGAGGCGCCCAGAGTTGCGCCCAGAACCTATGATCGTGGGTTCGAATCGCGGTTAGCCCTGTTGATGTTTCTAGATCTGTCAGCACAATAACCGTGCTCATGGGTTACACAATAGTGACCTGGAACACTTCACACTTTCCACCCACACCCATCTGACACAGTCATATAAGTGACATTATGTCCAGTGGGCGTTAATAACTCACCCACTCACCCACTCACTCACTCCAGAGCGTATCTCAGTCAGACGGAAAGTAACGCTGGCAAAACAACATGGAAGCAACACATTCCAAAATATTACATTGCGATTGCATTCTTGCATACGTGGTATTTTGCATTCTTGTATGCATGGTATTTTGCATTCTTGGAAAAATGGTATTTTGCATTATTGCACACATGGTATTTTGCATTCTTGCATACATGGTATTTTGCATTCTTGCACACAAGGTATTTTGCATTCTTGCATACATGGTATTTTGCATTCTTGCACACATGGTATTTTGCATTCTTGCATAATGGTATTTTGCATTTTTGCATACATGGTATTTTTCATTCTTCCACAGGTGGTATTATGCATTCTTGCATACATGGTATTTTGCATTCTTGCATAATGGTATTTTGCAATCTTGCATACATGGTATTTTTCATTCTTCCACAGGTGGTATTATGCATTCTTGCATACATGGTATTTTGCATTCTTGCACACATGGTATTTTGCATTCTTGCATAATGGTATTTTGCATTCTTGCATAATGGTATTTTGCATTCTTGCACACATGGTATTTTGCATTCTTCCACACGTGGTATTTTGCATTCTTTCATACAACGTTATTTTGCATTCTTGCATACATGGTATTATGCATTCTTGCATACATGGTATTTTGCATTCTTGCATAATGGTATTTTGCAATCTTGCATACATGGTATTTTTCATTCTTCCACAGGTGGTATTATGCATTCTTGCATACATGGTATTTTGCATTCTTGCACACATGGTATTTTGCATTCTTGCATAATGGTATTTTGCATTCTTGCATAATGGTATTTTGCATTCTTGCACACATGGTATTTTGCATTCTTCCACACGTGGTATTTTGCATTCTTTCATACAACGTTATTTTGCATTCTTGCATACATGGTATTTTCCATTCTTGCACACGTGGAATTTTGCATTCTTGCATAATGGTATTTTGCAATTTTGCATACATGGTATTTTTCGTTCTTCCACAGGTGGTATTATGCATTCTTGCATACATGGTATTTTGCATTGTTGCATAATGGTATTTTGCATTCTTGCATAATGGTATTTTGCGTTCTTGCATACATGGTATTTTTCATTCTTCCACAAGTGGTATTTTGCATTCTTGCACACATGGTATTTTGCATTGTTTCACACATGGTATTTTGCATTCTTGCACACATGGTATTTTGCATTCTTGCATACATGGTATTTTGCATTCTTGCATACATGGTATTTTGCATTCTTGTTTCAAGGTAAAATTATGTATGCAAGCAGCAATATGTTATAAAGGGTGCATTGGAAATTCATTCTTCCGAACCAGCTTCCAATAACCGATAGTAATCAGAATTAGTTCTGTCATTAGCTATCGATTGTAATAAAGGGGTTAACGCGTGTTGCGTAGCGAATGAGAGAATTGACTTCCTGTCAATAACCATCGATTGTAGTGACATCTTTACTGATTACTTCTTTGTGTATTCTCTGGTGTCACCGCCAGTGGTTTTAATACGATTTTAAGAGGGTTTAGGCGTGCGGAAAATTGAGTATTACACAATTGAGTACAACAATAAGCTGTTATTTGTGTTGAAGGCTTATTCTTGTTGGTGTATGTTTATTGCACAACAATATTAGCTCTGTTTGTCAACAGCTATTGTTGTCATTAAGTACCCCCGGAGGTTGTTTGTTATAGCGGGGACTAGACAGATCAATAATGCAAAACACGAAGTTGAAATTACCACTCACGAATAATACACATTTGATGTATATATATTACAGGAAACAAGTATAATCAGTGATTAAGTCTAATGACTGAAAATTTCAGTGATTATGTCTAATAACTGATTCACTCGGTGGTTTTGTCTAATTACTGAAATCTTGGCTGAAGATTGGCTTAGGACAGGAATATGAAGCCTTCTCACAAGTTATTATTAAAAGGCATGAATATGCTTTCAGTAAACAAGTATAAACTCCCTTGGTTCATTTAAGTGGTTATGTCTAATTACTGAACATTTCAGTAATTAGACATAACCACCGAGTGAATCAGTTATAAGACATAACCACCGAGTGAATCAGTTATTAGACATAATCACTGAAATAATCAGTTATTAGACTGAATCACTGATTCTTCTTGTTTCCTGTAACATATATACCAATTCTAGTACTGTTTTTAAATATGTTAAAGACAAATGCTGCACATGATGACAGATGAAATACACTCAACATCAAAATCTCCTAAAATATGACATTATTAGAAGTATATATTTGTTTTTAAAGTCACTTGTTTTGTTTTTGCTGTTGTTTAACGCCGCACTCAGCAATATCCCAGCTATATGACGGCGGTCTGTAAATAATCGGGTCTGGACCAGACAATCCAGTGATTGACATCAAGAGCATCGATCTAAGCAATTGGGATATAATGACATGCTCGTATCGTACTTCATGCTGGATATCTGCTTCTGTTTAAACATATTTTTTTCAGATTGAAATGGATTAGGAACAAGTTATCCAACTTAGGACCCCCTCTCCAAATCTGTACACACAAAAATCAGTCATAAGCCAGACACACGGCTAACTTTGAAGTGCAGTGGACAGATTGAGCTGACACCATACATGTTAACTCGTACTCGGCTAAGTCTTTTCGTGACTTGGCTATTATGTAGACACGCCCCTTTTTTTCAAATTCCGCGATTTATGAAAGGAAATATGTCATTCTTTGATCACGTTAGACATGATTATTAGAAGAATTAAATTAAAGATATATTGTAGTTCTCTTGTACACGTGTCATAAACTGGCACATACGGTTTAAATATATGAAATAAAAAAACCGAAATACTGAAACTCAGCCGAATCCAAGACTCAAACAATGCGAAACGTCTGTCTGTAACAAATCAAAGTGACATTGTTTTTACACTGCTTAATAAGCACGGTTGGTTCATCAAATAAATATTTAAACCTAGAATCTAGACATTGTATACAATGACTCTAGCTTTATCGCCTTTGATTGAAAGAAAATTTTCCAACCCTTAAATGGAAAAAAGGTTGAAAAAGTATCAATCATTTGTCCTGTTTGTATGGAGTTCCTCAATGTGTATGGCATATGGTAAAAAATGCTTCAGGGTGCATATAAATATGCATTGTTATTATTAAATTACTAATGGAGATATGTATCATAGTACATAATATCGATAAGTAATAGAGGTAATGTTCCCGAGATGAAAGTTATGGAAACCTGGAGAAGCGTCAGTAAAATGCTCAATGTATGATAAATGACCCTTGGTGGCCCCCCTATGTACACAACAACTGTATAAATATAATATAAAATGAGCAGAACGTTCAGAAATTCGCATCGGAGTCGATATAATTGTCTGGTTTGGGGATCCGTGGACCCTAACTTTTCACAATGTTGAATGAAGTTATAATTAGGATGACATTTTTTGGATTCCCGCAAAG